CGCCTAAAGAAGTATAACTTCAAAAACACAATATTAGTCAACAAACCTCGGAGATATACGCGAACAACAATAAAAAAAAATAACAACCTCCTTCCTCTTGAGTCGGTTAAATAATTATAATGGAAGTTATAACCAGTTATCTTATCGTTGTACAGTATTTGGAAACTAATTATGTACTCACAGAAACTTAGAATAATTAGTGGCAACGACATTTTCAAATAATTTTTAAAACGCTATTTTAATCACATAAATTGTTAATTTTATCTTGCATCCGATTAATATTTTACGTCTACTCTTTAATTGGGTAGGAAAATTAAACCTAAATGTTCAATGGCGCAGCGGATAGAGTATTCGGTCTGCGATCGTGAAAGTTATGTAACATTCGCAACGCCAGGTCCCAGGATGGGTGACAAAAAAATGCTTGAGCTCCTCCATGCTTTGGAAGACACGATAAAACGTTGATCCCAGCTGCGTCTACATTCACATGCACTAGCACAACACCATATAGGCCTTCTCAGAATACCAGCGTTGTCGTGACAGGTTTAGTTTCATGGCACAGCAGCATTGTGCAAAGTTAGGGCTGCCATCCGTCCGGGTTTCCCCGGATTTGTCCTAGTTTACGGGGCGTCCGGGGAGCGTCCGGGCGGGGTTTCATTTGTCGTCCGGGTTTAAAAATTTCCTGTTTTGGGTTGCCAATTAATCCGTCAATTTAAATGTCTTTGAAAATAAATAAATCTATTCTAACACTGTAACCATAAATGCTGACTTCCAACAAAGATCAGCTTTGTCGCCCATACTGTCCGCAATAACAGCATTCGTTGCATGGATGACAGCACTGAAACTTTTAACACTGGCCGGTCAAGCCCTCGGATGGAAGAAAAGGGTGTAAAGACAGACTTGTGTCCGAGATTGAGATGTTACTGGATCAAGTCTCAAATTGGAGCCAACAAAATTTGATTGGATTTACACAGCAAAGACACAAGTGACTAAATATCGGGTGTTACTTTACAAAGCACTGGTCCTCTGGGCTGGAGCAACCCAATACCAGCTCCTTCCTCTTGACCGGATACAAAAGCGGGCAGTTTGACATATCGATGCTCCTGAGCTCACTCATGCGTTGCAACCCCTTAGCATGCGCAGATGTTACAACACGTAAAATGACGCGACTCCTTCTACGTGTCGTACCGTCTATACAATCAATGGAGAGTGTTCCGAGAAATTTTATTCAACCGGATGCCAGTGGCCAAGTTTCTTCACAGCACCACACACCGCAGAGAAGTTACCGCCCCTCATCTGGACACCTGGCGTTCGAGCACCATGTGTTTCTTTCTTTTGTGTACCAGCTAGATCTAGAACGAAATTTCCTCAGTATTTTTTTCTTATAGCTATGATATGGCAATCTTAAAAAGGCGGATGAACCTTTTCGTTCAGAGCCGGCAACGCATGGGTGGCCCTTGGTGCTGCAAGTGTCCATGGGCAGCAGTGACCACTTATTATGAGGTAGACCGCTAGCTCTTTTGCCTTGTTTGCCAAAAGTTGATTTGTGACATTTTTAACTGTTTTTTTTTGTCTGTCCGGGTTTTGGGCTCCAAAATCCGGGGTTATCACGCCTCTGATCCTGGTTGCCACATTTTAGAGATGGCAGCCCTATGCAAAGTCATAGGGGCCCCATTATCCTTATATGCCCAAGGCCTCCATTAGGTTAAAGACGGCCCTGGGCAGGGTCCTGGTTGACCAATATTATAACTGTTACATTTATCAATGTTTGTGATGCTTACTTTCTATATATGTTTTTTATTTCAGCTGTTTATAATAGGCTAGTTGACCCTTTTTGGAAAAAGGTTTTAAATGGTTAATAAATGTTCTATTAGACCGAAAAAAAATGTGTTGTATTTTTTTGAAACCTAAAAAGCTACAAATCTTTAATTTTAAAATAGACTTTTCATGGACATACAAAAACGCTGTCGGCCATTTTAGTCTATAGATTATCTATGCTATGACGTGAACTGTGGTAAACAAAAACTCATAAACACGTAGAAAATTACTTTTAACTGAGTGTAAAATAAAAAAAAACATGATTTCTAATAAATACCACGAAAAATAAAGTAATTATCATTACTGTATTGTACGAGAATATAAAAACACATCCTTGAAGACTCCAGGAAAGTTGTGGATTAAAGTGCCGAAAGAAATTAACCTACGCAACTTTATTACACTTATTAATATGTTGTATCAGTTTTATGTTTATTACTACATTGTAATACTAAATGCACTGTACTTACATAGATGCCTTGTCGTTTCTCTGCTCCGCAGAGCAGAAATCGGGGTTTAGTGCAACAAATTCACCAACCATCAATGCGTCAATTCTTGGCAGATTTGTGCTTTCTGCTTTCACAAAGCCGGCATCCATAATTAGTTTAGTCAAAAAAAACTAAGTTTACTGTTTTTTTCTTTCCTAAAGTTAAGTGTTTTAAGATAAATTTAGTCAGACGAAAGAATCCACCTACAGTAACACACGAATAACATTTAGTTGTTTACCACAAGAGACGTCAAAATCATGGCGGATGTGGCGAACAGCGTTTTTAGTGTTTAAAAAATAGAGACTAAAAAATATTTTTTAAAATTAAATTTCTACAGCAATCTTCTGCTTTTATGAAGTGAAATCGATATATTAAGGTTCCTTAGACTAAACACTTTAAGAAATAAACATTTATTTAATACAATTCGACATGAGTAAACTAGCCTATTATGTTTGTGTGTTTTTATTGGTCAATAAAATGGTTCTCTCTCTCACAAGTATAGAATCAACCAATTAATATATAATAAAAAAAGCGGCCAAATGAACACATTCTCATAAAAAATGTGAACACGTTTACGTCTAAAAGACAATACCTGTGTTAAAATTCAACTCTCTAGTCCAATGGTTTAGGCTGGCCGATGATGAGTCAGCAATCAGGTCCTCTCTCTTAATATAATATATTACGTGTAAAAGAAAGCCCATATATTGGTCAATCTTAGGTTTTACTAATAAATCTTAGGATTTATCAACATAACTTGGTAGTAAATGTAAGGATTTAAAACAGGGTCGATTTTCGGGCTTTTACTATTAGAATTTAGTACATGCTAGGTTTAAACACTGACGGCTAATAAATGTTGATTTTAGGAATAAAACAACCAGTAATTCTTAATTATTTATTTCAATTAACTATTATCAGCTATAAGTGTAGACTTTCTTTACAGCGCCTTAGTTGAGGCTTATATGTATTTTTAGAGTTTCTTCTATAACAAGCTTATTTTTTATCATGAAATGCGATTTATTATTACAGCAGTCACTTCTATTTATAAAGCAAAGAAACTACAGCAATTTGCGGCAAGATCTTATTCAAGGCTTATTCTTGTCCGGTGTTTCGTGTATTGGGTGCTTATTGTGTACAGACCTCACGATTTCCATAAGGTGGTTTAATTCGATCGCTTGGTTCGCAATCTGCTCGTAAGCGTTAATATGTTCTATCGGTTTCCATTCCTCATACAGCCTTTTTAGAGTCATCGCTATGTCAGTCATGATGTTATATTTATCAGTGATGTCTCCCATAAGGTAACCGACTTCGAACGATGTCGAATTAACGTAGTAAGTGTTTATCAATTCTGCCCTTTTAACTTTTAGGTCGCTATCTCGGACGCTCTCATACATGAGCCGGAAAAGTTTGAGTTTCATATCTGTGTCCTCCGTAGGAGCCAGTTCCGCTTGCCTTCTGCTGGGTTGATCAGAGCTGTAATATTAAATATTACACAATATAAGAAACACGGACGCGGTCAGGAGATCAGTAGCCATTCGTAGCTTTCCCTTTTGTTAAAGTACGAGTATATTATGAGTCATGTAAAAGGGACCTTGTCGAAGGAATTATTTTGGCGCTCTTGAATTGGATTAGGCTGCAATAAGATATGAAAAACTAAAGTAAGGAAAACTAATTAAAGTACATAACACAGACAGAGTTGCAGTCTACTACTGTCTATGTATAAGTAATAATGTTTCAATTAATTTTTATTTTTATAATCAAAATACTAAATTTAGAAATCTAAAGATAATTAACAAGAAAACATTCCAATCTAAAGGATTCCTAACACCTGACACCGAGCTGAGTGGACTGTTTCCAGGTATGAAAAAAATCATTCGGGTCGAAGGAATTCGGCACGCCCGAAGTGTGTCAGTTATTGTATTTTATGTTATGTATTTAATTATTTTTGACCTGGCCTCAGGTAGTACTTGTGCCTCCACCCCGACCAGCCGAGGGTCCTCATCCAAGCTGTTCTCCTTCAGCAGCGTCAGCTTCAGGACCCAGGAGACTTCATCGAAGATGTTCTTCTGAGTAGATGACATGTTGAGCTCGGGCATGGCGGAGCAAGACGATACTAAAAAGAGGGAATACTATTTGTGTAGGTACGATTACGCTCGTCATGTCATGACTTCATGAGGTTTCACGATGCAAACTTTTCAGGATAAGTATCGATAGAGCATAAGTTTTACTATTTTTAATAAGCATTTTCTCCTTAAACCTTGTCAAAGATTCATTTTGAAATGTATGTTGTGAGAGGAGGTGATGAATAGTGCATCATCGACAGCAATAATAGCTTAACAATGATCTTGTTGATATTCTAAAAAATATTTTATTATTCTTATTAATGTCCCTACTGCTGTAAGCACAGGCTTTTGTCTGTGGATTGAAAAGAGAGATTATACTATCACCTACCATGCGAGACTACCCTATTTATTAATTATTAGTATTAATGTGATGAAAGTTGACATCAACACATGTTTTAAATTTTTGATGGCATCTTTCAATTGACGACTCTGTATGAAACTAAACAGGGGGAAAAAAAAGCCCTTGCTGAGTTTCTTGCCGGTTCTTCTCAGTAGAAGGTCTCTCGCCGTAGATTTACGAACCGATGGCATAGTGTTTGACTTTCACAAGAGCTTGTAACAGTTTAGACTGAATAAATGAGTTTGAGTTTGATGGGTGGATTGAAACGAACGACGAATTAGGGTTTTGGTTACTCATAAAGTTATATCATATCGAACTAATTTTGATCAATACTCATCGGTAGTAATCTGAATATTAAATTCTCTGTGAATAATAATACCTTTTTGTGTAATTGTAGAAGTTTAGCAAAGGGCGGTCAACATAAAGAAATGTGTACCAATTTGTGAGTTCGTTTAGTTTCAATAAAGATGGACAAAAATGGGACAGGCATTTATTAAAACTGCAGTCCATAAAGAAGACAATGAGGCACACCAAAATAGAATTAACAATTATTAGTTCTGACAGCAAGATATTGGAAGCATCTCTTATAGCTTCTTTAACGATTTCTATAATATCTGCTTCTACCAGTAGTAATCTATCTCCCATCCGTACTCCAACGGCCACCACCATCTAGTCTGCGGCTTGGCCTTCGAAGACAGCCTCTTCATGATTTCCTGTATTTTCCTCTCATCCTTTGGCTGTCCCTTAGGTCTCTTAAACTTCTTCCTCCTCACTGTACTCCTAAAGTTCCTTGACGGAGCCACGTAGTATTTATCCAGACCTAACCCACCGATAGGATCTAGCGATATCGGTTGCATAACTACATTCGGGTCTCTGACAACCATCCATTTCCTTTCGATCTCGTGTAGCATATTACACAAGTGTTCTATAGTCCAATAATGATTCTCCACCTCCTGTAAGAGAACTATCGACTCCGTAGGATAGAAATTCGTCTGGTGACCAAAGGTCGTGTTGTAGATATCTAACATCTTTCTGTAGTCCTCTTGGATCAGGTATGTGACGTATCCGACCTCGTATGCCGGCGTTCTGATGCTTGTGAGTTTGAATTGTTCCATGTAAGACATTCTTTGGTCTGTGTCTTTGATTATGTCCGATGTTAGATTGCGGATTATCCGTGTGGATTCTTTGTCTTCCTCTTTCTCTAATTCCTTCCAGAAAGCACGAGAGAACGATAAGGCTGCAAGCAAAATTCTTGTTTTCACTTCATCGGGCATGTGGCCATGATATGTCCGAATTGTAAAGATGGCGTTATGCGGATAGAGTGTTTGACGTTTTGAGTGAAGGAAATGAAAAATTAGCAAAACAAAATTTAACTTTATGCTTTTTATTACACTAGAAGGAATTAATTAATGTCGTACATATGTGTTCCATTGTTTTGGTTAACAAAATTAATTAATAAATAATGAAATATAAATAATTAATTAATAAATAATATACTTATTTCTGGTTTTTAAGTTTTTTGACATTAGGTAAGTACTTTCAAGCTTTTGTAATTTAAATATTTCTATGTGAATATAAATAAATTAAATGACAATAGTGAAATAATTTATTAGTACTTACTAGCTTTATTTTTGCAAACAAATACTTAATTACATGAAAGGAGACTAAATCTCAACTCACAAAATAAATATAAAATAAATTACTTACTTAAGACCATTATAAGCCATAACACAACCATTTTGTATTTTTACTACCGTAGAAATGTGAAATTTTAATTAAAACCACAATTTGTGATAAAGATTTAGATTTTTAATTTGAATTCAACATTGATGACAAAACGTTATAAAAGATGTTGTTTGCATAATTTTAGAAATAAGTTAATAATTATTGTCAAAAAAATCAGAGGATTGCCTTTCAAACGGTGTATGTTTCAAAGTGAAAAGTTTAGGTTTTGAAAGAAATATAAATAAATATACAAATTATAAATACATAATGAAAATATTTTGTGACTAAAATGTCGATAGAGATATAATAAATTAAAAAAACCCACCTGCTTAAAAATGTAGTAAAAATAAAACTGAAAAGATAAAAACAAGTCCAGTTGTCTAGAATTCTGTTAAGTAGGAAACAAAACTACTTTAACAGTCGGGAACCACTAAATATTCTAGATTGGATAAAATTTTCACAATAATGGGTCCTGACGACTGCTAAAGAAGCTTTATTCCTTATTTAACAGAACTGTAGACTACTGGAGTAGTTATTCATTTCTCAGTTTTAATTTAAAAAGTTTTATGTGTTATAATTGCTGCATGGTCCGCGTGGATATTTTTCTTGTTATATTTTCTTTCGATTTAAAGTTTCATGTGTTTTGTTAAAAAAAACGCTTAGCAAATTACCCCATCCCACATTTCGTGACGTGGAAAACGTGAAAATAGTGGAAGAGGCAAAGTGCGCCACTCCAGCCATCCTGACCTTGCTGGTATGAACCCAATCTTATACCTCTTGAAGCCCTGCAACCTTACACAACAGGTACACAATACTACTGACGAGTAGTGTTTTTTTCCTGTGTATTTTTGATGTGTAACATCTTTCCTCTCGCTTTCCTGCAATTTGTGGGAGCGATTTCGTGAAATGGGACGGAAATGTGTAACAGGAAGTCGCGAGAGCGCGCGCTATTTGATTTGATTTAAGAATGTTCAATTGGCTAATTGCTTTTGTAGTAGGTTTTATTTCTTTTTTTTATTAATATAAGGTGAGGTTTCAAATGTTACACTTTTTCTCGCTCGTTTTTTTCTGTAACGTAGAGGTATTTCACCTTCCCAAATGTAATAAACATAAAAAGTAAATAAATTGTACTTAATGAATAATAATTGTTCTTTCACAGTGAAGCACTATGGTGAAACAATGGCTGCTTATAGCATTCCGTAAGTTTTTTATCATCGTATATATAAAAAAAACAGAAAACTGGTTTTCTTGCAAACTATCAAGCCAAAACTAAATCATTCCAAAAATTAACAGCATTTTTTAGTTGTTAGTTATTAATTATATTGTTATTTTCAAATCTTAGATTTATAAATCTATAGAAAATAAGTATTACAAAAAAAAAAATCCCGCACGATCGGGTTCGAATCCCATCTGATATCTGTTCCTCTATATTTTCTGTACATTGTTACTCATTTTCGGCAAGGGCAAGGATCCCAATTTTTAGATGTGGTAATGGAGGCGGATGTTAAGAATTCCATGGACTGCACGCCGGACCAACGTGTCCATACTTGAGGAACTTGGCATCACAACAAGGTTGTCCAATATCTATTACCAGCGCATACTCAAATATTTCGGACATATCGCTTGCAGAAACCCTGACAGCCTAGAGAAGCTGAAGGTCGACGGGAGAAGATCACGCGGTTCGTCACCTACCCGCTGGTCAGACCTAGTAAAGTCGCTCACTGGCCTATCAATAACCGTGGCTACAAAGACTGCCGAGAGCAGGAATACGTGGAGAAGCATAGTACATCAGGTCGTCAACATTTTCAGTTAGACACGACTTTCAGCAATGAAGATAGTGACTAAGAAGAAGAGTTACTTATTTTTATAAAAATTGGTATTTTGTTGTTTTTTTTTATATTATTCCTTTCAGTACTGCACCGTTGCTCCGGCTACTACCCACCCCACAGTCCCCCGGTCATGGGAAGAATTGCAAGATACCAAGCCGATATCCTTATGAATATGACCTACTATTTGTGTAAAGGTACATAAACTACTAACTAAATAATAAAAGGTACATAATGGTCGCCAGCCGAATATAATTCTGTGAGGTAATGAACAAAGCTACTTTAACAGTCGGGACCCATTATTGGAAAATTTGTATCCATTCTAGAATATTTAATGGGCCCCGACTATTAAAGTAGTTTTGTTCCTTACTTTTTAATACAAATAGTCTGATTATATTACAGACAAAAAATGCTTAGGTTTGAACTGTTCCAATAGTTTCAACCGGTTTTCTAAATTAAATACATCATGATTGTATTGACGTTGTAACAACATAATGAAATGTAAATGTTGAATGTAACATTATACTTTTAATGTTGTGGAGTTTTATTCGCTCGTTTTTCTCCGCAACTAAAAAATAAGTCCGATAACGAGTGGTGGGGAAAAAATATTTGCAAGATTCAAAAGAATTGTATCTACTATGCATCCAATTTGAATAAACATACCTATATTGATTTCTGATTTCCGATTTTTTAATGCACCTAACGCACTATAATTCCTTCCAGATAACATTAAAAAAAGAAGCTAAAAGAAACAGGGTTTCGAAACCTTTTCATGTCTTATATTATGTATTACCAGATACTCTTGAATGTAATGTTATTTATTTATTAATATCTATTTGTGTGACTTTCTACAAACATTGGAACTGGGTCAAATAAAAAAACAACAACATAGTAAAAAGATTTTTTTTCATTATTATTTCCAATACAAAGTACTCTTACCAAGTACAAGCAAAACTTAATTGTAGAATAATTTTAAATTAATCACTCTCTTCACCAGTCACCAGATGAGAACACCGAATTGAATAACGATTGCCCCATATTAATCACAAATACATAACGACACAGACGTAATACATTAAAGGTGAACGCAGACTTGGCCGCACCGCACGCGCCGCAGTCTTCGCGTTCGAATTCTTTATATGAAGTTCTATTGAACCTCGCACACTCACCCGCGTCGCAGTCGCCGCAGTCTCTGAAACGACCGAACTCCCCGAGCCGCAGCTGATGACGTCACCAACGCCGGCCCGCACGCAGCGGACGCTGCGGCTAGCGCGGCGCGGATGACGTCATTAGTATCTGTAGTACTGAATGAACCAAGTGCGGTGCGTGCGGCGACGGGAACGACTGCACTGACCATTATGCTACCACGGCCTTAAGAGGGTATACGCGCTCCGTGCGCTGTTTGGCTAAAAAACGTGATTTTTCAAACCAGATTGTCCACCAACCGATTATCTTACAAACATGTGAATTGCTTATAATTTTAGGAAATGTTTTAATCTATGTCGTTAGTTAAAGTTTTTTTTCGTTTAAAACATTGTTTGTGAATACCATCAAGATAACTGAACAGAGGTTTACTGGATTTCACTCTCAGTGTCAATTTCGAAGCTAAAAATATCTGAAATTCCTGACAGATCTAATAAACAAAAATTTTTAACTAACAGCAAAGATCCTTAAGAAAATCATTAGTTAAAGGGATTTTTTGTTTTAGCTTCCAAACTCATGAAATTAAAATCCATACAAAGTGATTTTTTTTAGAAATTATAGTCGATGAAATGATTTTTTTAACCAATACACATTACTTAATTTAATATAATTTATATTAATTGTAATAGAAGAATGCATCCTTTATAAGTTACGATTAAAAAAGTAAACTAAATTAGCTCTATTATTTTTCTATAAATATTTTAAAACTACTATAAAACTCTGCGCTCGAACCTATTCAAATCAGTCGGCAGCGAGCCCTTCCAGAGAGAGTACACGTCGCTTTGCGCTCTGCTTGACCGCTATTGACCTTTACCGTGCGTACGCGTAGTTCCAAGGACAGCTCAAGTTTATAGCGTGATCGTCAAATCTTAGTACTTTGGTAAGTAAAATTTTATTTTTGATGACCAGCAAATATTTTATAGTGATCGTAAGTACTTGAGTAAGTTTTTTGACCGACATTATTTGATAGTGACAATAAATTATGTTTCAGACGGAATGGGAAATAAAACGAAGCGATTTTTGGGAAAGAGAAAACGCAAAAATTTAGAAAATATGGCTAAAGCAAGAGCTAAAAGGTTTGTATTTATATGTTAAATACCACCCGCGTAAAATGTGCTTATTTTTGTCTGGTCAAAAGCGCCTGCACCTAATTAGATTTACTTTAATAACTTTTTGAAGTTATACTTCTTTAGGCGCGTTATGAAAAAATGATGAGAGTGAAATTTTAAGATGCGCGCGCATCACTGTAACACAAAATTTTAACAGCATGAAGTTGGTCGCTTTAGCGACCAACTTCATGCGTTACTTTTGTGTTTACCGCACATTAAGAAAATCTACCAACAAAATAGAAATAGAATCTCTATTTAGTGGGTGCTAACGACTGCATTGTGAAGGCCTATCAAAAGTATTTATTAATCTGGAACAACGGAACCAAAGTGCGATTCAGGAGATTACAGCGCCATCTCTTGACCATTGGTGTAGTAGAACCAAAAACTACATCTTTATTGTTTGTAATAAAGTGACAGTTATAGGTATACATATTTATAATATTTATCCATATAGTTTGTATATTCGGAATACGTGTTTGAGTTTCATACAAGTGCAAATCACATATGTTCTAATAAATTATATTCAGTAGCGATTTTAATTGAATATTTTGATTATTTATTTATTTTTTCAAATTAAAACTGAACTTTATTGACTGTGTCCTTTTCCAGACTTTTTATTAATTTATTGTAATTAATTATTTGCATGCAATTAAATACTAATTTTAAACGATGCCAAAGAAGGATAACTTCTCACGCGCCTACATAAGTACACGCACCCATTTTTTTAAATTGAATTTATGAGTAGGTTTATTCTTTCAGACAAAAAAAGAATTCTATTGAAGAACAGTCGAGTAAGCCCAATGATACAATAACCTTTGGTGATGCAGATCACGTAAGTATTTTAATTAGTATGGTTAGTGAAAGAAAAATGAAAATTTTCGACTGGTTTTGTTTAAAGGTAGATAATGACAATTGTTCTAAAGTGAGCTTTCAGCGTATATATTCATTATACAATACAAAAACTCTTTATTGTACACCTCAAAAACATTGAAAATTAAGTACAAAAGCATCTAGTACACGTGATGTACATACAAAAATTATAAATACAAATACATACATTGATCCAGTCCAGTTAGGAGGCAGTTGTAAGCATATCAGATATTAAAAGAAAAGTATTACAATGTCAGATAATGGGAATTCAGGCGGTTTTTAAATGTATAAATAGTTTCCGAACGTCTTATCAAAACCGAAAGAGAATTTCATAGATGTTAACCATGTTTAACCATGATGTCATCAATCATTATGTGTCATTGCGAAAAATAATAGTCATAAATTATTTTTTAAGATGCAATATATTGTTGAGTTCTACCGACTTAGACAGTTCCTAACACTTTTTTTAGGATACCGTCTCATCATTAAAAGAAGATTTTGTAGTCGCAGAAAATAGAATGCAAAGTACTGTAGAAGAATTGAACGATATTCAAGAATTTGAAATTGTAAGTATCATTCGATTATAATATTATTGGAATTTTTGTAATGCAACCATTAAGACAATATGACACAGTATCTATATATTTGTTTTAGGACGTAGAAGCAAATGTTTCAACCAGTTCACCATTTCGAATTGAAGGTCGAAGAATTGTTGATTTCAGTCACTTTTTTGATCAAATTAAATCATTATCTGATCACAATCCGGGTTTAGGTTGTTCAATAAGTAACATGCAAATTGTAAGAGAAAAGATCATTGGTTTGGAGTCCGTAATCTACTTCCAATGTAACATGTGCAACCAAAAATTTCAAGTGAATTCTTGCACAACTTCACTCGGTGAGTCCAATGATATGACTATAAATCATGCTGCGTTGACTGGCGCAATGTTGATTGGCTGTGGACGAACTAACTTAAATGAGTTATTAACAGCTATGGACCTACCAAACATAAATCAAAAAACCTATAATAAATGTCACAGTGACGTATCCAATTGGTGGGCAGTTGCTGCAGAAACCAGTATGAAAGAGGCAGCTAGAGAAGAAAGTGAGCTAGCAATTGAAAGTGGGGAAATTATTGATGGAATTCCTGCGATCGTAGTTGTAGCTGATGCGTGCTGGTCTAAAAGATCATATGGAAATAATTACGCCGCAGCATCGGGAGCAGCTGCAATTATTGGATTTAAAACTGGAAAAGTTTTATTTATGAGGGTAAAAAACAAATATTGTGTAGTATGCGCCCGATCTGCATCAAAAAATCAATCGCCACCCATCCATCAGTGTACTAAAAATCATGTAGGATCTTCTACAAGTATGGAACAAACAAGCATAGTCGAGGGATTTAAAACTTCAGTCACCACTCATAACTTGATATACAAAACTCTTATAGCAGATGGAGGTGCAAGCACTTATAAAAAAATATTGGAAAGCAGGCCATATTCTAATGTACAAGTGCAGAAAATTGAATGTTCGAACCACCTGCTTAGAAATTACAATAGTAAACTTATGCACCTACAAAAGGATACATCTATTCCACTTTCCGAAAGAAAACTTTTAACAAATGAACGAATCACTCGACTTCGTACGGCCGTAAGAGCAGCTGCTCGCTTTCGCAATGCTCAGAACACCAACAGTTCCGATAAAATTATAAAATTAAAGGATGACATAATAAACAGTCCAAAGCATATTTTTGGTGATCATAGTACTTGTGAAGAATATTATTGTAAAGAGGAAAAGAAAAAGGAGCAAAATCTGGTCCCTTTGCTGAAAACTCTGTTTAGAAAAGTAATGGTACACACAATACAAATTGCACTGAACTCAAAAAGCTTGCTTTGTAATTTAAATAACAATAGAGCCGAACAATTCAACAGTATTGTTGCAAAGCATGGAGGTGGCAAACGTATAAATTTTTCATTGAAAAATTCTTATACGGCACGGTGTCACGCTGCAGTTGTAGCTTTTAATACTGGCAAAGCCCAATACACTTTGAATTGTCGAATTTTCTCTAACCTTAAGCTGCAAGGCAAGCTCGAGTCCCGTCTGCTGCCTGGTACTCGTGGTTTTTTTTCTGACAAAATTTTCTTTAGATTTAAGCATCTAACAGTTACTTCCATGCTTAAAAAATAAAAGAATGTCAATAAAGGTCTTTCGATTTTCAGATGCGACCATAAAATTGTGGCATGCCGACAGAGTTCAACAAAGGTTGGAACAGCAGTTTAAATTTTATAGTTACTAACATACTCAACATAGAAAGTATTTTATATTCAATTTTTTTAATGTTTGCTGTCCCTTACTACGATTTCTCCACTACGATCACCTTTGCCCACAATTATACGTCGCCCCATAACCACGTTTTAATCGGTCGATAATATCGGATACGTTTTGTGATATCTGTTTTAGTACAATATGTATAAGAACGGCTACGATATTACCGCCTATGCCTATACAGGGTTAATTTTAAAACACCAACTACCTCTTCGGGGGTGATTCTACCCATCAACAGGAACAACTTTTTTTTATTAAGGGACAAACTCTGAAATCGCGAAATAAAAATAAAATTTAAAATCAGCTGTTTCATACATTTCGGTCGATTAGCTGATGCACTTTTGTATGAAACAGAAGATTTCTTTTGTCACCACTAAAGACGTCTACTGTGGAGATTTAATAAGCATTTACAAAAAAAAAGTAGTATAACTACTCATTAATCTACGGGTGAAAGGACATCGACGAAATCGGCCCTAGCATGCCCAAAAGAATGTCCTTCACTATTATTTTTCTATTATTTTTTTAACTTATTATCAATTAATTATAGTAAACGGACAATCTGTTTAAAGAACTAAAAAATAAAAGTTCTGTTACTTATTACAGTATGTTCATCCTAACTTGTCCTATTTGGTAATCAATCTTGGCACTCCTTTTTATTGGAAATACAGCATTAAAAATCAACTTATAACTGGATTCAATAGGTTTCAGTCTGAAATAACGATTTATTTTAATAGTTTATTGGCTTGGTTTTTATTTTATTTTTAAATGGGTGATTTTGTAAAAAAGTTGTGCCAAGATTGTTTACCTTAATAAATGCAATAATGGCGATTATAGGTATTTATCAACATAAGACTAGAACTAGGTACCTTAGTTAATAATACTTGTCACTAGTATTTATATTATATTTAAAAAAATATTATTTCTGAAATTATGTAAAGATAGTTTATACATACTCCCATCTCGTATAATACATGTTTATTTTTATGAAAATCACAATGATATCCAGGTTGTACATACCTTATTACCGATAGTAAAATATAGAAACGGGTAAATCGAAAGATTTTGAACATTTCATTTGAAAAGAAATCTATTGTGAGAAACACTCATAAATCAATATGAATATAAGCATTTATTATTTTTATTAATTGCATTTTATATTCATTTAATGCATATTATTTAAGTGCGTACATAGAGGAAAACACTAAATCTATTCAGAATATAATATAAAGTGTACATCTTTTACGATTAAGTATAATAATTATAACCTCCAAATCTAATACATTCTGTAGTAGGCCACGGTTCCTCAAGTTGTCCGTATCTCAACGAATGCCTAATTAGAATTTAGGAATGATTCCGAACGCAACTAGCATTTTCTCATTGCTGGGCGTTCTAGGGCATTCAATGTATGGGGAACGAGCAATGTCCTTTCTTTTACATCTCTTATCTATTAGACAACCTCCGTGGCCGAGTGGTTTGTACGCCGGGTTTCATGGCTGTCGCCGACTCGAGAGGTCCCGGGTTCGAATCCCGGTGGGGGCAGATGTTAGTGTGATGAATACGAGCATTTGTACTCCAGTCATGGATGTTTAATATGTATTTATATAAATATACTTATATATGTACAGTATATGTATTCTATCCGTTACCCTAGCATCCCATAACACAAGCCTTATAGTGCTTACTTTGGGGCTAGGCTAATTGGTGTGTGTCGGAAATATTTATTTATTATTTTATAAGTCCGTCCGTCCGTCTGTGGTGCTGTTTCAGCGGCCAAACCGTAAGAGATAGATAAACAGAATATTTAAGTTATAAGTTAAGAATAGTCTGATAATACTACAAACCGGATTTGAGTAACGTAGCACTTCCGGTTTTCGAGAAATCACGAATTTCAAACGAAACCACACAAAATCTCCGAAGTTTTTTTTAAATCAGGTTTTCTTGAACATTTGGTTCACTGGTTTGCTAGTAATACCTAATTTTCGAGGAGGAAATCGTCGAGAGCCAAACCTTAAATTTTGCAATTTTTATACGCAGTCTTCAGCGTTAACTACTGAGTACCCTTAGTACGAGTTTGAGCTCACGAAAACTATCATAGTTTTCGTAATTGTAAATTATGTTTCTCTCTCTAATTCTGTTTATTTTATTGTTAAGTAACCAAATATACTTGAAATTTAAGAAAATGCATATGATTTGATGATAGAATTTAAACATTGTTTATTTGTATTGAAACGAAAACAATAAAATCTACGAGTGCGAGCTCACAAAAACTATCATCATCATCATCATCATCAACAGCCTATCATAGTCCACTGCTGGACATAGGCCTCTCCAAATGCACGCCACTCAGATCGATCTTGGGCTACTCGCATCCAGCTCCTGCCAGCCACCTTGCGCAAATCGTCACTCCATCGTGCCTGAGGACGTCCTACACTACGTTTGCCTAGACGCGGTCTCCATTCCAGAACTCGTCTACCCCAACGGTTATCGGTTCTTCGGCAAATATGGCCAGCCCACTGCCACTTCAACTTGCTAATCCGGTGGGCTATGTCGATAACTCTGGTTCTATGTCGGATTACCTCATTTCTGATGCGATCTTTCAGAGAAACGCCGAGCATAGCCCTTTCCATAGCGCGTTGAGCGACTTTGAATCTGTGGATCAGCCGTGCCGTCAGTGTCCACGTCTCGGCTCCATATGTCATCACAGGTAGGACGCACTGATTGAAGACTTTCGTCTTTAGGCACTGTGGGATCGACGATGTCAGGACTTGACGTAGCTTCCCAAACGCTGCCCAACCTAGCTGAACTCTTCTATTCACCTCGTCCTCAAAGTTCTTTCTACCGAACTGCAATGTTTGCCCGAGGTATACATATTTTTGAACAACTTCGAGAACGGCACCGTGTATTGCAATCGGTTCCGGTAGAACACGTTCATTGAACATGACCTTGGTTTTATCCAAGTTCATCCGCAGGGCGATGCGATAAAACTATCATAGTTTTCATAATTGTAAAACTCGTACTAAGGTTACTGTTGTCCCTATCGCACGGTATTTGCCAAAGCGTGACAGCAATAGCTTTTTCAAATACCTATTTCTCAAATGCTTTTTTTATCTGACACACAGGTATCTAGGTACGCTGTCTTATGAGTTGGGAGTCATAACAGCGTCCATTCAGGACATTTTCAGAAGGATGCTGAACACGTACCGAAAATATTCCAACTTGACCAACTTCCGGTTCGGACAATATTATGCCGAAGAAATTATATCAGCCTACCACATTGTTAGTAAGTGACGTAATTTAATTAACTCATTAATTAACTTAACTATTAAAACATATTAAACATAAAAAGCATGTACCGACCGAAATGAGAACCAGGGAGGTCTACTCTCTTTATCCGAAACGAACTTTCGATAACGAAGTTCAAACGAAATTTAATGAAATGAAATGAAAATTATTTATTCACACAAAACAGAGTAGATACATTTTAGTGGTGATTTTCATTTAGTTCGTCCACTTTGCCAACGACAGGACATGTGAATGTCAAACTTAATTTAATTGTAAAATTTATAGGTATTAATGTCATTTTATTTATTCTATTCCAAGTTCATTTTCGTTTCTAAATATTCTCTAACTAAGAAAAAACATTTCGTTAACAGCCACATTTTAAGCTTTCTTTTAAATATAGGCAAACTAAGCTCCGTTATCAAACTTGGTAACCTATTATACATTTTTATACAATTTATATTTATTTTAATTGCGTCAATTTAAGTTTATACTTTTGAACGATAAACTATCGCATAGAAGCTTTCTTTGAGTAGGCTAATAAAATCTACACTTCAATCTATATTCCAACGACGAATATTGTTATAATTAAAAACGAACCAGAAACACAGTAAAAGTGCGAAGTTTCGATCGAAATTTCGTTTTTTGTTGAATTAGAGTAGGCCTCCAGCTCCTTTTATAAAGTCTGTTAATAAATCACAGTAGGTGAAATAGTGTTATCAATATACTAGCTGTCCCAGCGAACTTCGTTCCGCCATATAAAAATAGGGGTTTGTGGTAGAAGGGTGAAAATTTAGGGTTGTATGTGTTTTTCTATGATGTATCATCAAAAAATAATAACAAAAAATTTTGCCCAAAAAACAAAATTATTGGTGGACCACCCTTAATATTTAGGGAAATGAAAAATAGATGTTATCCGATTCTCAGACCTACTGAATATGCATATTAAATTTTACGAAAATCGTACGAGCCGTTTCGGAGTAGTCCAATTACGCACACCGCGACACGAGAATTTTATTTATTAGATTAATGTAGGCTTTAGATGAAATTTGCTTTTTAGGATGCCTTACCACAAAAGGTAAAAATGGAACCCTTATAAGAGCACTTTGTTGTCTATCCGTCCGTCTGTTTGTCTGTCTGTCTGTGAAGAGTTCAAGACCCTTTAGCTCGAGAACGCGTGGCGGTATCAAACTATCGAGTAGAAATTTTAACTTATATGTATAGTTATTCAGTACTCCTAGCACGAACCAATATCGAATTCGTATCGTTTGCGAGTCCGAAATGTCATTGTCAAATGTGTACTGATTTTTAGTTCTCGTTACGTACTTTGTGCCGCTGCTGTTCAAGTTTCCATACAAAATTTGACATTGACATTTCTGTTTGCAAACTATTCGAATTCGATAATGGTTCGTGCTAGGGGTACTGATCTAAGATCCCTAGAAGCTGTAAAACATAAAACTTCTAAGTTAACATGAAAGAAAGATACGGCCGTTTATCTGCCTGTCTGTCAAAAACCTTTATCTTGGGATCGTGTAGTATTGAGTCGCGTTAAGAGCACCTATTTGTTACTCTGCATGGCAGCGCCATCTTTTTCATACTAGTTAAATAAAATAAGTTGTCTAGTTAGTCAGAGGACATAATCAGGCTTGTAAGTTGACTACTTACTTAACTATGGGTAAGTTGAAAATTATCACAGGCACACATCCATGCGCGCATACACATACACTCATACACACATCCACACTCACACAGACACATCCACACTCACACACACACATCCACAATCGCACACACACATCCACACTCGCACACACATATACACTCGCACACACACATCCACACTCGCACACACACATCCACACTCGCACACACAGAGACTCACACTCACATATACAAACATAGAGTAATTATAATTCGAGGATTTTTTATTAAATATATGGGTAACTTGTAAAAATATTCAGTAAAAATTTTTAAAGTTACTTTAATAATTTTACTATTGTCATATTTTTTGTCTTATAATGTAACTCGAACATTTATATATTACCGAGTTTTGTCAACATATTGTAATGCGAACCATTTAGAAAAACCGAAATATTAGGTCTTTGCGTTACGAGCTCAGCTCAGTGCAAAAACCACTGTTTAATTGTAAGCTAAGTTAAAATTTTGTATTGATGAATAAATATTTAAAAAAAAACTTAAACAAAAAAAGTTAAATCTAGCAGTTCCTAATATCAACCTATTGAAGTGAAACCTCTTTATACACGCTTGACTTGGGGGGTAAGCTGCCGAATGCGTTACGCGTTACAAAAAGTGTCTTCGGGCGAGGCGAACGGGAGTTGAGTGGCGAATATAGGAAGCAAGAGAAAGCAGTGCGCGCGCACATTTTCTTTCTCTCTTTCTCTTATAGCTAGTAAATGAAATATGTATATGTACATACATAGATGAACACTGATTAGACAAGCCATGATGATATGGGACTTAGCCTATTCGAGTGCTGTCAGCTTTCAGAGCGGTCAATCTAAAGGTCAAACTGGTAAGGGCATACCTAACGATTCAAATCTTTGCTTATAATGCGATTCAACTAAGAATAGGACCGGCTGGGCGCCATATTTTCACGTCATAGCTGTCAATTCAAACCAAATAGGTAGAGTGAGCAAAAAAGTTTCTATTTAATAAAACTTATTTACTAAGATTAAGTTAGAAAAAACATCAGATTTTTTAATAAAATTAATTTAACTAAGATTGAGAAAAAATACAACCGATTTTTAATAATATTTCTTTATTAAGACTGTGTGAGAGAAAACATTAATCAGAATCTAGCTCTTCAATTCCGCTCATCTCTGCATTACTGCCGGTAGTTATGAATAATCATGCAGGTCACACACGGACATGCATCCTATATGTAAACGAAAGTTTTAAATCGAGTTTCTGAACGCTACATAAAGTGAAATTTGGTTGACGATTTAGGTTATCAACCATCCATAGCCAAAGCTCAATAAATGAAAAAAATATCAACCAATATTAATAATCAATATTTGTTATTGTTTGTTTAAAAAAGTTAGGTTTTTAATCTAGAATTAGCCGAGTGCTAAAGAAGTGTACCGAGATTTTTTGCAAACCGTACTTTTCATGCGACATTTGACAGATGGAGGTCATTGGCTTTCCTATTCTTATTTGAATCGCATTATACATGTATATATTGTACATATATATATATTTACATACAGATGGAGCTAAAGAAGTTTCACTTCAGTCGTGTGGACATACACTCGTTTTTTTTCAGAAGGAGATTTCAACGCACTAAAGATGCAGCGAACCATGTTCATGGATGTTCTGAATGCCCACTACGAACGGATGAAGATGCCTCCCACGACCAGGTCGAGGGGCAGGAGGATCAGGGGGCCGAGAGGGCGCAGGGCCGGTCACCCATCCCTCCGCGACCCGGAGTACGTTTACAAGAACATGATGAAATACCAGCACTGGACCGACGCTAGAGAATACGCACGCGAAATGGGTTTGAGTGATTTGGAATAAATTGGTGGTTCGATAGATAAAGGGTATTACTTTTTACTAGAACCACCCGCGACTTTGTCCACGTAAACTTGGCTTTTTGAGAATAAATAAATAAATATATCTAACACACACCAATTAGCCTAACCCCAAAATAAGCACTGTAGAACGGATCTACACGGATAGAATACATATACAGTACATAAATAAGTATATTTTTATATAAATACATATTAAACATCCATAACTGGAGTACAAATGCTCGTATTCATCACACAAACATCTGCCCCCACCGGGATTTGAACCCGGGACCTCGAGTCGAGTCGGCGACACCAGGAAACCCAGCGTACTAACCACTCGGCCACGGAGGTGATCCTACAGGAACCTAACATTTTCCCGAATAAAAAGTACCTATTCTAATAGGAGCTCGATGGCGCAACTGGTTAGCGCGTTCGGCTGCGATCGTTGAAGTTAAGCAACTTTCGCAGTGGTCGGTCATTGGATGGGTGACCAAAAATTTACTATCTCGACCTCCTCCGTGCTTCGGAAGGCACGTTAAGCCGTTGGTCCCGGTTGCATCTGCAGTCGTTAGCACCCACCAATCCGCACTGGGCCCGCGTGGTGGGTCATGACCCAATCTCCCTATTCCATCCATAGGGAAGGCATGTGCCCCAGCAGTGGGGACATTAATAGGTTGATGATGATGATGATGATTCTAATATGTCTCAATCCAGGGGGCCAATCGTCTAAAGGGATTGCTACGGCTATGGCTATCGCCTAAGATTTCTTTTTGTTATTTTTCACTACCTAAGGTTTTCAAATTCCTCGCGCTCTTTTTTTCTTTTTGCATTGGTAATAACAATATTTAACCTTAGGCGGTCAGAAATAACAAGATGAAATCTAAAAAAAAACGGGGTAAGGCTATAATAATATAATATATGTTTATTTATAAACATTATCTACTTAAATTGAACATGATTCCATTACAATAATTATTACACTTCTTCCCCCGGTTTCAATCTCTCAGATGATGTAGTTTTAATATTTATAATTTCTTATTTCATAATACTTATTGTAGGAACTTCTATGCAGTTTTGAATAAAAAGCATAATGTTGTTTCTCCACCCCAACTGTGGGCCCCCGTTTCATCCCCTTAATGGGGAAATTTTGGAAAATCCTTCCTTTAAAAAGTTCTTTCTTTCACAAACCTTTTCTAATATAAAACACGACAAGAAATAATCATACAATTTTAGCGCATCAACATTACAAGTCGCGGCAACTCTAGCTCTGAACAAAACGCGGAGAGGATAGCTGCGCATGGGTACGATTAGAGAGCCAATGTACGATTAGAGAGCCAATGTACGATTGGAGAGCCAATGTACGATTGGAGAGCCAATGTACGATTGGAGAGCCAATCGGCGCAATGCACGCCCGCCCGCGCACCTCTGTTTCCCCCCAAGACATCTTTTTAAATTCAATTTTTCAATAAATTCAAAAATTCAATTTTAAGGCTGGAAACAGTGCTCGAGCGACGGTCAGCGCTGGCCGTCGGTCACTATATCTATGCAAGTCTATGAATGCGCACACAGTTACGCTGATGGTACGCGCGTACGGTCGGTCGAGCCGTCGCGTCGGTCCGACTCGTCGGTCGCGCGTACGTAGGTCGACTGACGAGCTATGAGATTGTATTGTATGGATGCGTTCAGTGCTTCACTGATGGACGTGCACTCAAAGCAAAAATGAATATTGATACAGAGCGCCTTATTACTGAAGTGCGGCTTCGTCCGGCAATATGGAAATTATCGTATCTATGTATTTTATAAAGACCGTGATGCTAAAATAAGTGCTTGGCAAGAACTTTGTAAAGAATTTATTGTGCATAAAATAGCGTGCATATATTACAGCAAAAGGGTTCATTTTTCTCGTGAACTGTACACACGCGTCGCCGTTTGCCGTCAGCGTAGCACTGAACGCATTTTCGCAACCGACGGTCAGCGCTGACGGTCAGGACGTACGTCGAGCACTGTTTCCAGCCTTACTTCTGCGCAATAACGGTCAGCGCTAGAGTTTCGTGCCGTGACTTATATCATAGTGATCCTTGAAAAAATACTATGTAGCATAAACGACATATAATTTATTTAATAGCTTTTTAATAAACATTATGTGGCGTGCGTCTCATAAACCGTTAATAAGAATGTAATATTTTATTGCATTTTTTATTGCCTGTGTGAACAATGAATGATTTGTTCTCTGTCTCTCTCTCTCTAGGACGACATTTATAAGCATTTCTTTAAAAGAAGTGGCCGAAAAATGATTTACAAATTCTGAAACAACTTATAACATACGAACGGCGCAAATTAAATAAAAGCTAAGTTTTCAATTGAAATTATTTATAATGGAATAAGGAATTATGTCGAAAAATGTTGCCAGTACTTGTCATTGTTATTATTATGTAAGAAAATATTTATTTTTTATTTCTTCAAAGCTCGATTAAATATTACGACGCCAACGTCACAAAAGCGAGATAAGAATACTGTAATACCTTATATTAAATTTAAAAATAAATATCTTTTGAGAGAGAATTTTACTAGAAAAAAAAATCATTCGGTCCAGGTTTCAGACACGCACCCTCTGTACTGACGATTATGCTACTGCGGCCCCAATGGCCGTCTCTAGTATCATTTTCTTTAGATTTAAACACCTAGCAGTTGAATGCTTAAAATATAATATAGTATAATTATTAACTTGCAATTAAATAATTAAAAATATAATTTTTTTTTTTCATGGGGGTTCTTTGTCGCATTAATATCAGCCAATTTATTACAAAATAATTACATATGTACAATGATAATTTCTTATATTTTTAAATTCATTATCTCTCATCTCTATGAAATATACACGGATGTATGCTAAGGGGCTCTACCGATTTCGATAAATTGTGAGTGCATTCATGTTCCAGTCCCTGGATAGAATAGGTTCATCAATGGTTATTTAGGCGAGGCTACTGTCATATTTTTATGCCTTTTATGAAAATGAAGGTATTAAAGTGTTTGCTTGATAATGTAGCGTACTATCGATTTAATCGATTTCGTGCATTGTCGATGTAGCTACCATCGATTTGGAATACTGTCGATTCATTAACCCGAAGATGGATCGTTTTCCATACAGTGACTGTCGATATTATGAACCAGTCCCGATTGAAAATATAAAGTGGAATGTTAAATAGATATTTTTTTCTAGTTATATCTTCTTTAGATTTAAACATGAAGCAGTTACATGCAGTGCCGTCTTTGACCTATTGGAGGCCCTGGACATAGGATAATGGGGCCCCTATGACCCCCGTTTGGTGATTTAAGAGGAATTAGGGACTTTGTGTTTGATCTGAGGGGGGCCCCTATCCATCGCGGGGGCCTGGGCACTTGCCCAAAGTGCCCACAGAGAAAGAGGGGTCTGACATGCTTAAAAAATAAAAATTATAATTAAATAGGTATTTTTTTTCAGTCCGCAATGCTTATGTAAAATCAATGTGGACATATCACCTTTGGAAAAGGACTTGAGTATTGACACGTATGCATCATTGAACATGACTAAAGGTTGGGAATTATTTTATTTTATTACATAAATGTTAATACATAAAGCATCAACAAGTTGTGTAGTCATCCAGCCAATTAAAAAATCCCAACAAACACCTTTGAAATTTTATTTAGAAAACCCAAACATCCGAAAGAGTTTGTAATTAAGATTCAATTACGTCTAAATATGTATAAATTTAAATAAAATTTCTTGTTCCCTTTCTTCTTTTCTGTTTTATTGTGTGTGTACTAAATTAGTAAATAAATAAAGTCGAGCAGCTCGATGGCTCAAAGTAGTTAGCATGTTCGATCCGAGATCTCTCGTAGTGGGCGGCCCTAGTATGGATGACCAAAATTTTTTTCTCATTATATCTAGAGATATAATTAGCTACGGATTGTGATAAAATAAGATGGTATAGAGCTGGAGTAGAGTAAAAGTTAAAATATACGTGTAAACAGGAAAGTATATTGTTATGAAGTACTTCAAAATTTTACATCAAATATTTACAAAGTGCCAACGTCAACTAGAAAAAGAAGAACTAGGATTGTAGCAACCAGTATTACAGTATTATTATTACCAGTACACGGAAGCCACGTCAAACCATCGGTCCCGGCTGCATCTGCAGTCGTTAGGTCCACAACAATTTGCACAGGGTCAGAGAGTAGGCCGCTACCCCAGCAGTGGGGCATTAAAAGCTGATGATGATGATAACTCAATGGCGCAAGTGTTTAGCGCGTTGGGCTGCGATCGTTGAAGTTAAGCAACTTTCGCAGTGGTCGGTCATTGGATGGGTGAGCAAAAATTAAGTGTCTCGAGCTCTTTCGTGCTTTGAAAGGCATGTAAGTCGTTGGTCCCGGCTGCAACTGCAGTCGTTAGCACCCACCAATCGGCACTCGGCCCGTGTGGTGGTTCATGGTATGTCCCAATCTCCCTATTCCATCCATAGGGGGAGCCTGTGACCCAGCAATGGGGACATTAATAGGCTGATGGTGTGATGATGATAAAGTGGCGGTGGCACTTAGTAATACTTTGTGGTATTTAGTACGGATCCTATGCAACCCTTTAATCATCTTCTTCTTCAAATGCCTCTCCAGTGTCTCCTAGTGAATGTTGGCAGTCAGCTCCGCATATCTTACCCAGTCTTTGGCGTGGTTGAAAAACTCCGCTGCATTTGAAATTCCAGTCCATTCCCGGGTACTGCGCAGCCACGATTTCTTCCTTTTTTTTGTCTGGGAAATGCCTTACGCCTACTTCAACCAACGGGGGAGCGAGAAGAAGGTATGTGGGACTCCTCCCTGCTCATTACATCTAGCCCTTGGGCTGATTGAAATGACCAGGGTCCTACCTAACGCCCTGAACAGGACCACTAAAACCAGACAATACTCCTGCACCGGTCACCCGACGTACATTCTGAGGACCGCAGTCCCCCCGCAGCACGCCGGGAGTGCTGTCCGCGCACCCGCGAGTTAATAAGAATTTCTTCCTACATCCAACAGCTCTTCTTCCGGCCACTTTACCCATCTTTATTACCAAAAGAAGGTCGTATCTGGGTTGCTGAAGCACGTGACCTAAATAGGCAACCTTTCTTCTTAAGGGTCCCCGCATACGGGCCACCGGCCACAACCACAAAACGCCGCCACCGGCATATTTCCTGTAGTTTTCATACATTTTATATGGACTCGCCACGTAGCGTGTGGCGGCCACTGGCGTTAACCGTGTGCGGCGAGTCCATATAAAATATATGAAAACTACAGGAAATATGCCGGTGGCGGCTTTTTGTGGTTGTAGCCGGTGGCCCGTGTACGTCGACACTAAGTACTGAAACCCAAAAATTTTAACTATACAACAACTTGGTACCACTAGGTTACAAAAAATTCGACTTGACCGAACTCGAGGCGCTTGGCAATATGACGAGAAGACTGGCGTTCTTCCGATACTACTGGTTCCACCCGAAACACTACAAGACCTATGAGTTGGTGGCTCGGAACTGCTACCTGTCGGCACAGACATATCAATCGGCGTGAGTGTATCATTATCATAGTCATATTTATCATTGTCATCGTCATAATTATCATTAACATCGTCATAATTATATTTTTTATTTTTTAAGCATGTTACTGAGCTCCATGTATAAATCTAAAGAAAATATTACAAAAAAAAATCCACGCGGACCAGGCAGCAGACGGGACTCGAACCCGCACCCTTTGCTATCCGGGCGAATACACCGACCATTGTGCTACCACGGCCCTGATGGCCGTGTCGAATTCTTTCTAGACTTTCTTAAGTTGCAAGGCAGCGCCATCGCTTCCGTCATCCATCATCATAATTATCAAATTCGATTAAGAGAGGTAGGGATTATCAAATCGAATTTGAATTACCGTCTGGAGAAGCTACCTCCAACTTAGAGAAGACCACAGTAAAATAACACTACCTTTTGGTGGTGTTGTTTATCTGTCAGTGAATAAGGTTCCAGGTCTTCACAGAATGGGGGTCAGGGTAGGCAACGGTGGTGCGTGTGACATTTTTGGTATCACAAGCGTCTATCAGCTATGATGGCTTACATCAAGCAGGCCAGCGGCGTCATTCGTTATTAGTTTATTTTGTTATGAAACTAGCACACTATCGGAATCCGGGATAATATGGTTTAATTACTGGACACGGTACAAGACGCAAAATTCCCGGACAATCCCGGATTTCCCAGCAATCTGGTAAGCCTAGGCGGACCATATGCTTGTTGGCCACCCTTTCAGTTTTAACATTAAAAAGGTATCATACGCCATACTGCTGAAACCAACACAAGGGATCTAAAATATTAACATCTAAATTGCATGCCTAGAATTATTCGCCATCGTAAAATTTCATCACGATCATCTTGATGCATGGTTTGCTTTATTGTCAAATTCTTTTACCACTTAGCGCTTAATACCAATGTTCAAAAACTGTTTTATTAAATGTTCGGTTGGACGAGCTCTGGAGTGGAGACCGCGTTTAGGCAAACGTAGTGGAGGACGTCCTCAGGCACGATGGAGTGACGATTTGCGCAAGGTGACTGGCAGGAGCTGGATGCGAGTAACCCAAGATCGATCTGAGTGGCGTGCATTTGGAGAGGCCTATGTCCAGCAGTGGACTAAGATGGGCCGTTGTGATGATGAAAAAATTTTCGGTGTGCGTGAAAACATAAGATACTTCATTGTTTTTCTCTTTTCTCTTAGATTGGAGGAAATCAGGAAATACTACCACATTAGGTTTCTCTACTCGGACAACTTACAGTATGAAGTCGGCTACTTGGTGCACGAGATTGTGCACAAATACCAAATGATGTTAGAATTGTACCACTTGGTTGTCAAGAGATTCCTCGCTGTGGTGAGTTTAATGCTGGACTTTCCACATTGCTATTCTAATTAGCTATTTGTAAAGTTGATAACCGTCTGTACATAACATCTAATCTGTGGTACCTTTCTTCATAGCAAGACAAACACTTCGCCCTAGTAACCTACGTCGTCGGAGTCGCGGACGCGATATTACCAGCGACCTAATTGATCTCTATAGAGATCTCCCATGCTTATGGGACATTACGTCGGAATCATATAAAGATGCTCGTCAAAAAAAATGCGTGGGAGATATTACTCGAAAAGTATAGGGAGTTGGACATAATAAGTTTGAATGGCTGAGAATCATTCGCTGTTGTAAACAACGCTTCATCCACATTCTCCTTTTTGTTGTTTTTCGTCGTCTATTGCACACAAAACTGTTAAGGCAAAGCCCACATTTTGAAATTTAGACAAATTTGGAGCCATTTCTACAACACGGTTACTGATACAGTCCGCGCATGATACAAGTGCATACGTGTTTTCACGCCAGAAGACGGCTCGCGACTGCTTGTTGGCGCGTGGATTACATCCGTGTAGCCGAAAATCATAATAAGACCTATGCCAGACGGATGTAATCCAACGTACCAACCAAGGTGACCTTGCCCATTGCCATCCATCTAGACGAAGGATGTAATCCAAATTTTGATTTGACCTTCAACTTCCTTGGATTACGGGCGCGTGATTACATCCGCGGTTGGAGCGCGTGGATTACAACCGTTTGGCCGGCGGATTACATCCAACCAAAGACTGCTGAAAGAAGAGACTGAAACCTGTGGCAGTCAGCGGGTAGTCGCGTCTGACGCGGTCAGCGTCTATTTGCACACAAAACTGGATTACAAAAGCTTTTATAAAGCTATTCTAGACGGATATAATCCAGCGTTCTAACCAAAGTGACCTAGGTGGGAAGTTGATTTAGGATTTTCGGCTACACGGATGTAATCCACGCGCCAACACGCAGTCGCGAGCCGTCTTCTGGCGTGAAAACACGCATGAACTTGTATCATACGCGGACTGTATTAGTAACCGTGATTACATCCGTTACGTGTAGCCGAAAATCATAACGCGGATGGAAACCAACTTCCCACCAAGGTCACCTTGGTTGGAACGTTGGATTACATCTGTCTAGAATAGCTTTTACATCCGTCTAGAATAGCTTTAAAGCAAAAAGGGAAGATACGGCACTCACGGCTCAAAAGTGATCCGCTTAAATTGTGGTGTATGATCACAATTGCTTTAGTCACAATTGGACATGCAGCATCATGTGCACTCAATATAGGTAACGATAGTGCGTATATTCTGTGTTATAAAGATAAAATAACGCCTTCGATGCTTATACAAAGAACACAAATAGTTCAAAATCAAATAACAAATGCCTCGGCAACACTTTTCATTCGTGCGGACACGCCGTTTCGCTCGCGCTGCGTTGATCGTACAATTCTATCTCGCTTGCTCGATTGAATGTTTATTTACAGACGTGTGCTTGTGTGAGTTGCCTATGAAGTTGAGTCGGAGCATATTTTATTTGATGCTAGTGTGAGCGTACCGTATCTTCCCTTTTTGTTTTAATCTAATGCATGAAGACAAATGAGCTTCCAGTCCAACTGGTAAGTAAGTAAGTGGTCACATGCGCTCATGGACACTTGCAGCACCAAGGGTTACAACTCATGCTTTGCCGGATGTAAAGGAAAATGTGATGTTCGTTCCAGATCTTGCTGGTACTATTTTCGCCGTGTTTTGTTCATATCACTCAAATGTCATTTGTAAACTCAAAGAACAGAGACTAAACATTGAGTAACAATTCCAAGTTAATTCTGCGTTTATTAAAAAAAGGGTTATAGTTTATTACCTGGGTTGACATAAAGAATATTTTATATCCCGAAAAAAATTTGGTTCCTGATGGATTCTCATAAAACAAAAGTTAACGTAGATGAAGTCGGGGGCGACCACTAGTTTGATGAAATGAAAAGTCATTTATTCAGTCTATGCTGTTACAAGCACTTGTGAAGGTCAAGAAGCTACGCCATCGGTTCGCAAAACTACGGCGGGAGACCTTGTACTGAGAAGAACCGGCAAGAAGCTCAGCAAGGGCTGTTTTTTTCTCCCTGTATTGATATATACAGAGCCGTCAAGTTGAAAAATGCCTTCAGAGATACTTCTGAAGTCACCTTTCATTACATCATTTAGAATATAGATATATAGTTACAATAAATTTCATATTAAGTATATAGGAAGCGGCATTAGATAGGTACCATATTACTGTTACAAGAACTGACTAATACCCATCAAATAACAAATTACAAGAAACACTATGTCCATGCATTACGATCATTTAGATAATCATTAACCTTATAATAGCCCTTATTCTATATAAGATCTATACTTTTCTCCACAGCAAGACAAACACTTCGCCCCGGTGACTTATATGTTGTATATGTACACTAACGTGCTGGAGTACAGCATGGCGGTCATACACCTGTGCAACATGCTGCACGAGCTCGAGAAGAAGTATCAGAAAAAGAAGAAAATCAGCGTGTTTGACAACGATGTGGTTACCCGTGAGTACAGAGGCTGTCATTTCCTCAGGTTCGAGTGGTCTGGAGGCTCCAGACGAAGAGGAGACTCCCCCGTGGGGAGACGCTATCCGCCTGGAATACCTCCAGAGGCACTCGCCAATTCTCGGCTTGAGGTACCCTTAGGATCTCGCCGTCCCCAAACCCGGTGACGCTGTAAGGTCATCTGGGACTAACAGCAAACACACTCGAAAAAAAAAACAGAGGCTGTGCAAGTTGCGTTGTTAGAGCGAAACATCACACTAAGCTTGCCAGATGGTCTGGAGTCGTCTAGATTCTCTCGACATTTTACGTGATCTCCAAACTCCCGACAAACGAATATAGCGATGGACTTTTCGTTGCCCCTGTATCCTGTCCATGAAAGTAGGAAGTCAGTCAGTCAGTGTACAGTATTGTGAACTATAGGTATTGAGAACGGTGCGAATCTGATCAGTCCAACGTGTCGAGTTTCTCCTCCACTTCAAAATAATCGAAAAGCATTTCTAATTTCACATATCCTTATAACCAGTTGTACTAATTTCATAATTATATTGAAGTTGGAATTCAAGTTGGCTATGATTGTGATACATTAAATGACTACATTTATCCGAGTTCATTGCAATATGTATCTTCAAGTCTTTTAGTTTTCAGGAGAAAAATTGTTTTCTTGTTACGTTTGTCGCTGTTTTCACCCGCAACCGTCCCAAAATCCCGACATTTTAAAACGTTATTTCGATATTTTGACTTATCGGTCGATCTGGCACATCTACATTACACACGCTATCCCCACACAGAAAGTGGGGATCGCTTTCTGTCTTCTTGACAGAGATATTGACTTTAACAGAAAGGGATCCCCAAAAAGAGATAATCGCAATTGGTCCGGCCCAGATTTAAGGGCCTTCACACCTCAATGTTGTCACCTAGTGAATGGCAATTGAATTTTGTTTTCAGTTTTATGTAAAAGGTGCAGTTTCGAATCCTGTTTCCAGATACCTGGACGAGTGTTTTTTTTAAGTAAAATTTTCTTTAGGATTGGGATTGTATTCAGAATTCAGCTACATATCTATTTACATATATACCTAGTTATAAACTTTACTGACTGACTGCTCAAGTAGTCAGCCAGTGATATTGCTCAACATACACTGTTGCAACCAGAGTCTGATATGTGAAGCATAAGTGCGGAGTCCAGTCCAGAATTATGTCACAATAAGGAATACAACAAATTATATCACAATAAGGAATTATGAATAAGACGGGCGTCTTCTTTTTCAATCGCCCTCTCTTCTTTCAATTGCGATACCCTACATGGGCCTTAATGCACTTTTTATCTGTTAAAATTATCACCTTTGTATCTCTGTTATGGACTGCAATAAATGTTGAATTGAATTGAATTGCCACAGCACTAATTTTGTCAGCATCGTAATCGTATCGGCATCTTCAAATTTTGTATGGAAGGAACCAATTTGTTTTTACGTCCGCTAGGGGCGATGCTTATTTTTCATAGAAACTGACCACAGTAAGAGGTTAGAAGGGTGATCAGAAACTGTTTGTATGGGAACCGATGTCGCCGGCCCCCACTACACTTCCACGTAATAGATAATAGCCAATCAATCGACGCGACATCAAACAATCGAACCAATCAGCGCTCACACCCGAGAGAAACGACGCAATCAGAACCAAGTTTTGGTCAAGTCAAGTGTGGCAACCTCTTTCTGTGTTCCATGCTTTTGACTGTAGGAAAGCCAAAGGGGAAGATCTTCTTCCGAGCTGGGTGATGTTAGCTCGGGGCCGCGGCCCGACTGATATTGGTCGGGCATCGTATATATGAAGAGTTAGCTTCCGAATTTCATTTGCGCGATGTAGGCTTCCATACTATTATGATCGCAGTGCAGGTAACGCCATCTCTTGAGGATCGTGAGTAATGATTTCCTCCATCCGTTGTCTATATGTGGGGCATATAGATGTCGCCGCTACATGACGCTGCGATAATTATTACAGAACTGTCAAAATTTGTGCTTGAGCCTCGGTTCTTCCTGACAGCTTCAAGCTGTCCATTTATGGCCAGTCAACGTTTTCTCCTTTTAGAAATGACGCGTGCGTCGCGAGGTCCACGCAACGTCACCGTAACATTACCTCCAAGGGAACCGTACGAGGGCCGCAAAGAGACCTACTTGGACCGGCAGGCAGCCGAACGTAAACGCAAACGTAAGCAAATGAAGAAGGACAGGCAGCAGATGATTATATCCGGCGATTGGAAGCGGACCACCGTCAATAAGAGGCCTAAGAAGGGGTGAGTCGTTTGTTAACTGTTTATCGTTATTTTTGATGTGAATCATCTTTTGGCGCACGCAAAACTGATTTCCGGCGTGGCGACGCTCGCCCGTAAAATGCAATATATACCAGTGCTCAACTAATCGCCGAATTGCGTCCCCCCTGGGGGACGATCGCTTCCAATGAAGCCTTAGAGGCCTTCCCGGCCAGAGGCAGCCCCGACGGGTGTTTTTTAGTCAGTATGAGTCTGACATAACCTTGCAGCCGGCTGTAGGGTGTCCATGAGGATTTCTCACCCGCTCCCCCGCCTAGGAGGAAACAAAAAAAAAAATACTCGCCGATCAGTACTGCGCCAGGGCCCTGCGAGGATGGACCTATGTCATTATTACCGCACGCACCCCGAGCAATTCTCCGAGTGTATTTATCGTAAACCGGCTAGTGTTTCACATCTACCAGGCGTCCCGTGACGCCTCACATTCTTATTAAATTAAAAGAGTGGCAAACATGTATATGGCCCGCCTAAGGTTACCAGGTCGCCAAACCTAATAGCCGGACACCCTACATTAGGATGAGGATTTTACGGCTCAGTAATAGCTCCTTTGAGCACCCACCAACACATAACTGTTGGCTTCACTGGCAGTTTCCGCTATCAAGCGACTAAATGCTGGAATAACATACGTTCAGACAGACTTTTAAAATACATATGAAATCATCTTTATTAGAACAACAGAAAATTGGAATATCCAGAAATTAGTTGCTTGGGTACTATTCGGATTCGATATTGGTTCGTGCTTAGGGTACAGTACCCTTAGCACGAACTCGAATTCGTAACGTTTGGGAGTACGAAATGTCATTGTCAAATGTGTACTGATTTTTAGTTCTCGTAACGTACTTTGTGGCGCTGCAGTTCAAGATTTTATACAAAATTAGACATTGACATTTCGCACTCGCTAACTATTCGAATTCGATAATGGTTCGTGCTAAGGGTACTGTTCATTGAAAATCTTACTGTATAATGTCTTAATTTTAATAACAATACGAACTTCTTTTATAGTCTGTGCGGAAAGAGAATGAGATTTAGATTGGAGGGCGCTGTAGTGCTTTTCTACCGTATTTGTAAGCTTTTACCCCTTTTAGACATGATTAAATACAAAAAACCGCAAGAAATCACAACAACAAACAAATCCGTATTGATACAAAACTTTGACGTTTTTCAGATTGCTGGGCTTGATTGCCAAATAAACATCTTAATGTTAGTTCCGTTTTTCGCCACGCCCATTATTTTTCCGCACAGACTATATAGTTTTTTAATCACCATGTATGTATTATTTTTATTGTCTTTGCTATTATTATTGTTCTAGATTAGGTAGAAATAAGGTTTAATGAAATTGTTGGAGCATTTAGGTATATTTCTAAATAATTTGTTTTCTGTTCTGTTACAGCATGTGGCCTCTTGAGTATGGTTGGTCTATTGAATATTGGTGAATGTCATTGTATATTCTATAAAGATAATAAAGATTAATGAAAGCAATTTCTGTTATTTCTTTCTAAAAAATTTCACATAGTTATTTACACATAAAATTATAATTAAGTTACTTGAATCCGGGTAAGAGCGTGTCAGACTAGAGCGAAAAACCTCGATGTAGTGCCACTGGGGTTACCATCCGGTCCGGATTAGTCCGGACTTTTAGACTATAGTCTTAACTTTGTCCGGATTTTTTAAAATACTTTGAATATGAATAATAAAAGTATATATTTATTTAAATACCATACTATTGTAATTAAGTGAGTAATGGTACCATTTTGTGACTAAAAAGTCCGGACTTTTTTCGAAATGTCTGGACTTTTGAAATTCCTAAATGGTTACCCTAAGTGCGACCGAAATCTTGTGGCGCGTGCGTGCGTGGTGTGGGCAAAATAGGAACAAATAAATTTTAGGAAAGCTTAAACTTTTAAACATAATCATGTTATTTTTAAATGAAGGTGATAGCCTAATTTTATATTTCCTATTACTCTTTCCGATAATCTTTTAATACCGATATCTTTTTATACCAAATATAACGTTTCCTACATATAAGGAGATATAACATACTTATTAACGCAGATTTCATTTCATTTCATTTCACCAACAACGGTAGCGGTTTTTTGCTTTCAATGTCATTTAAGTGTCACACGATATCTTGGTCGTCGTAGAAGCGAAGCCCAGCGATAATTTTTATTTTTGTAAAACATATAAGTACTCCCTTATAAATAAACAAGGAATAAGCTGAGACTAGTTACGCCGTGTTTTGTTCAAGTCACTCTAATGCCATTTGTCATTCAACGAACAGAGACAAAACATAGATTAATTAATCCAAGCTAATTCTGCGTTAATTTATGAAGGGGTCTGTTTATCATTATAATCCTTTGATTAAACAAAAAGGGTAGATACGGTACGCTCATACTGACATCAAATAAAATATGATCCGACTCAACTACATAAACAACTCTCACACACGCACACGTCTGTATATAAACATTCAATCGAGCGAGCAAGACAGAACTAAACGCTTCAACGCAGCGTATTGTTGTCCTTTTCTTGATAACAAAATGGCGATTACAACAGTAACATTCACGACAAACCGTGAGTTTTGAAAAATAAATGTTTTTACAGTTTTACGAATGAAAAGTGTTGCTGAGGCATTTGTTATTTGATTTTGAACTATTTGTGTTCTTTATAAAAGCATCGAAGCCGAAGAAGAAAATATACGCAATATTGTTATATTGAGTGCACATGCAGCGTGTTTGAATGTCCAATTATGACTAAATTTCCCTATATATAAAAGGTACTCTGTGGACTAAATTATGGTCATGCACCACAATTTAAGCGGATCACTTTTGAGCCGCCAGTGCCGTACTACAAGCTTGCTCCTCAATGTTCCACTTTATTTCGTGCAGCGCACAGTCCTGCCACCGTGTATGCTTTTGTTTATCATCTTTACTGTTACCACTACTCACTAATAGATGGCGCTAATAAACATTCAATGTTTAAACAATTTTTAATGGCCTCTTTGCTCATCCACACTGATCATATTGGAGAGTTATCTAATTCCTCAGTAATTAGGGCCATCTAGATAGTAGACTCATCAGAAAGAGGTATTTTATTCTGTGGTCTTAGCATACCACTGAATAGATTAATAAAGATGCCTAATTGATTGATTCCTAATTACGTAGTTTCTACTGTATTAAGAGCCTAGTACCCATTGTGGTTATTTTAAAATATCCCAGTAACATGCGAATTCGAACCTAAAAGGTGAAAAGGCTGGTCCAGTTGTAAAGGCTTGTAAGTACCTACCTATATGAAGCCAAATACAAGTTCAAATATCGTTAGAATAATAAGTACCTGCAAAATGTTATAATACATTAATAAAAGAAACATATTGCCGTTGCAGATTTTTATGATGCGAATTTTTATGTAACCTCTGTTTAAATACCAACAGTAATTAAAAATAAACAACAAAGATATGTTATTAATTGTTATAGGTATTTTTGTTATTTTATACAGGATGGAAATGTTGAATGCACCCCCAGGGGAAGTACTCTAAGTACTGGAGGTAGATAATTTTACTCAAAGGAAACATTCCTTTATTTTTAAAAAGAAACACAACTGCATTCATAGTTTTTCGAAAATTTGCTTGCCACACCCGGGAATCGAACTAGCGAAAATTTGAAAAAATTACATCCTGTATTTATATGTCATCAATCGATAGGGTCAATCATAGGGATTATATCTTACTAACAAACTTAGTACATTAAATGGAAGGAAAAGCGTGAAATCTTAACTTAACTGAATGGAACAAGACTAAAAGCAGTTTTATCCCACCAGATTACACGAGTTACTATTTTTATTATTTCGGCGGCATTTATTCATTCAAATGACGAATAAAGATTTTTTTGCACATGTCTAAAATGCAGACTAAAGAGTCTAGTAAGGTACCAGTGTCAGGGGGGGGGGGGGGGGGGGCGTACAACCTCTTTGGTAGGTATGCAAAGAGGTATGTTACATATTTTTGAAAATGGAATAATGGCTTATCAAGAAGATCAAGAATTCATGTTTTTCCTTTAATTTAATGTACTAACTTTGTTAGTAAGATATGATCCCTATGATTGACCCTATCGATCAATGCCATAAAAATACAGGGTGTCATTGTTTCGAATTTTTGCCAGCAGTTGTGTTTCTTTTTAAAATTAAAGGAATGTTTCCTTTGAATAAAATTATCTATCTCCAGTATTTAGAGTACTTCCCCTGGGGGTGGCATTCAAAATTTCCACCCTCAAAAAAAAATAGAAATAGTGGTAATGGTTATACAGAACTATTACCACTATTTCTATTTTTTTTTTTTGAGAAGTAAGGGACAATTTCTGCAAATATTTAACTTCTTGAGGGCCCATGGAGTACTTTTTAGTAAAATGCAGACGTAGTGTTACTAGGTATATCTGTTTAGCGCACCCCTAGCACGAACCAAAATCGTATTCGTAACGTTTGCGAGTCCGAAATGTCATTGTCAAATGTGTACTGATTTTTAGTTCTCGTAACGGACTTTGTGGTGCTGCTGTTCAAGTTTCCATACAAAATTTGTCACTCGCAAACGATACGAATTCGATATTGGTTTGTGCTAAAGGTACACAGCTTGTAATATTTATCGTTTAATGAATAATTATCTTATTTTCGTTAAAAGATTTTGCAGAGCCATCTGTTGTCGATTTTCCAAAGTACTTAGAAAACTCTACTTATCTATTTATAGAATACTATACAGATAATTTTCATTATTATTCCCTTATCTATCGTGAAACAGAGCTTGGGAGAAGACTTAGACTTTATCAAACTCATTATCACTGTCGACCACGACGGGCCCACATGACAAGACAATCATTCATGTCGTCATTTGAGTAGTTTCAATTCAACACAACAAATTACGATCAGTCCGTTTTCGCGCGTGATCACGTGTGTTCGTAAACTGTCAAAATAACCCGACCAAGTGTGGTGAACACGACTGATAGTCTGGTTGACGTTGTATTTGCATAACGTTCCAATTTGTCCGGGAAACGTTGAGCTTGTTATTTCTTTCTTATTTTTTAAAATTTATGTGCCAAGAACTTTCTACTTTGAGTGCTTATAGTGTTTTGTCATTGGATTTTAACTATTACTTAATCTGTGTAAGTAAATAGATTTATGACATGTAGTATTATTTTGTTTTTACAATGTTTTGCTGATTAGGCAGGCACATACTGATAACTTGTAGTACCTACCTAAATGATAAAAGGGAATGCAAAGGCAAAAAGAGATAAAATATAGATATTTCAGCACTTTCATCTTCGTTAGAATGGTAGACCAAATCCCATTACCAAATATAATAAATTCCGTTTTGGTATTTCTAGACACCTGCCCTTTAACTTTATCTATTGGATAAAAACTATGGTGATAAAGCTTATGTACACAACTATTTGGCCGACAAGTGCAGCAGCCTCAAGTTATTTAAACAGTCAAATTATTTCGAGTGGCTTTCACCTTTATATCGCTTGAAGTAAGATTCATAATCGATTGAAATCATTTGATTGTATAATTGTGGTTAGTTGCTGCTGTATACTCAATTAAATATGAATTGATTTGTTTGACGTCGTTTCGTGAATTTCGTGCGTGATAGGTTGTGATTGTAACGACGCGACATTTTATCCATGCTGACACTTCTCATGGCTTTTTGGTATTTGTAAATTTGGAAGCAGCCTTTCCTTTTCATTCCTTTTTTATTGTTCTGTACCTACCTGAATCGGCAAAAATGAAACCCACCCACCCACTTATGATCACTTACGAGTAGTTGTCTGTCTGTCTGTCACAGTCGATTTGCTCGGAATCTACTGGACTGATCAAGTTGAAGGGGATTGGGTAATTTTGTATGGAGGTTGGCTTGATATTTTTTTTCAGCGGCCACTGAACTAATTATGATTGTTTGATAGTACTATATATGTGAATTGTTCTTAGCAAAGAAGTAGTTCCATAACTAATATCGGAACCAAGATATTTGATCTTGAATTCTAACAAAAGTCATATGATATAAAAGCTCATTAAATTATCTCCTGAGATTATTATACATGTTTAGTATTGTGGTAACGCTTTCTAAAAGCTAACATTAATGAAAAAAAAATAAACAGATCAAAAACTTGATCTAGAGTACCTAGAGTATCTACCTGGGCCGCGGTAGCATTGGTGCTCGATGACGCTGGGAAGTTCTTTGAAAGAATTCTGACGGGGCGTATCATCGAGCACCTGAGGGAGCCGGACCCAAATCTGGCAGAGCACCAGTTCGGGTTCCGGCGAAACCGGTCCACGGTGGAGGTGGTGGCCCTTTTGAAGGGGTGGACCGAGGCGGCCACTCGTCGGGGAGAGACTGCTATTGCGGTGTAGCTAGACATCCGCAACGCCTTTAACAGTCTTCCCCCCAAAAGAA